AAGGTCCCGCCATACTCGCAAACGCACCTATGCAACACAAATAGCAAACGGGAACGGAAACGTGCCGTCTGACAGACTGCAACAAACTAAAATTGGTCCATATTTTAAGGCACGTTTTGGCTAGACTCGTGTGAATGGGGGTGGGCGATGGTCACTAATAGCTTATGGATTAGATGGGTTTTTACGTCTGTTAGAGGTGCAATAAAAAAAGATACGCTCAGGTATAGAAACGCCGCAGTCTCACAGACGGCACCTTTCCGGTTAAGGGTAAAAATGTGTCTTTTATGTTCTTGTATCATTTTGAAATGAGCATTTTACGTATTAAACACATAAAATAAACATCCAGTATCAGTTTCAGCGAAGTTATTGCTTGCTTTTCGCCTTACTCTAATTTTTTGAACATCTTGAAGTTCGCAGTCTGAGAGACGGCATGTTTCCTTTTGTGTTCAAAAAATTCACGTTTCCTGTTAAGGGTTAAAAAGAAACCAAACAAGATCTTAAGAACAGGACCAAGTTCTTCTACTCAATCCATGGCTGTTACTGGGCCGTCATCTTCAACTCCACGTTCCCGTACTTATCAGGCTAGAAATAAGAGTCCTTTTTTACCCTCGAGCCGCCCACCAGCCAGATCTCGATACAAGAAGGAACACGAAGAAGTGCGGAGGTATCCACCACAAAAACGACGTTAAATCAGGTACCCATTATTTATAACAAATATGCTGGCCGCTTAGTTAACTACATAGACCAGTGGTCATTAATCACTAATAACTGTAAGAGCATTTTAACATGGCTCTCTGGATACAGACTACCCTTTATTAACAACCCAGCACAGACACAGGAACCTACTGTAAATTTCAAACAAATCAATTTAAACGATATGGAGGAGAGTATTAATAACCTCATTCAAATTGGAGCAGTTTCTGAAACTCCTCCCCAGTTGAATCAGTTTTTGTCTTCTTTCTTCTTAACAAAGAAACCAGACGGTACCTCTCGATTTATACTCAACTTAAAAAACCTAAATTGTTTTCTGGATCCACCTCATTTTAAAATGGAGGACTACCGAACTGTGTTACAGTTAATATTTAAAGATTGTTTTTTTACAACTTTGGATTTAAAAGATGCTTATTTTTTAATTCCAATTCACAATGATCACAAAAAATATTTGATGTTTAAGTGGGATAATAAATATTATATGTTTAATTGTTTACCTTTTGGCCTCTCTACAGCGCCCTTTCTATTCACAAAGATTATGAGAGTAGTAATAAAATTTCTTCGATCAAGAGATATTACTTGTGTTTCATATTTGGACGATCTTATCATTATTAGTAGATCAGAGGGAGAGGGCATCAAAGATGTAGACTTTACTTCACAGCTGTTGGAATCTCTGGGTTTCATCATAAACATCAAAAAGAGTTCTTTTATTCCTTCTCAACAATGTCAATATTTAGGGTTTATCTTTGACTCCCAGCGTTTATTACTATTATTGCCAGATGAAAAAAGGTTATCTCTCTTACCATTTATTACCCAGGTCATTAAAAAAGATAGAGTGACAATACATGTTTTTGCAAAATTATTAGGTAAATTAGTAGCTGCTTGTCCTGCTATTCAGTATGGCTGGGTTCATTTAAAAACCTTGGAACGTGAAAAATTTATAGCGTTACAGAAAAACAATCAAAACTATAATTGCTCTATGAATATCTCTGTTGCAGTTACAAAAGACTTACAATGGTGGATAAAAGCTATTTCTAGTAATAAGGGTGTCCCTATACTTTCAAGTCACAAGTTCACACTAGAAATATTTTCAGACGCATCACGCTCTGGTTGGGGAGTATTCTGTAATGGAAAAGCTACTAACGGGTTCTGGGATCCAATACAACAAACCAAACATATAAATTTTTTGGAACTCGTTGCGGCTTTTCATGCTGTGAAATGCTCTGCCAATAAATTATCTAATTGCTCACTACTCATTCGAATTGATAACACGACAGCTATTGCGTGCATCAATCGGATGGGAAGTGTAAGGTTTGGACCCCTCAACACCATATCCAAAAAATTGTGGACTTGGTGCGAAAGTCGCCAAATTTTTCTGGTCGCCTCATATATTAATACGGCAGATAACATATTCGCAGATAGGGAGTCAAGAACAACAAAAATAGATACAGAATATAAACTATCTTCATATTGTTATGAAAAGATTTGTTCTCATTTTGGAACTCCGAGCATTGACTTGTTTGCAACCTATATCAACTTTAAATGTTTACGTTATATTTCTTGGAAACCAGATCCTGAGTCCTTACGGGTAGATGCATTTACGGTATTTTGGGGAGACGAATTTTTTTATGCTTTCCCACCATTTTGTTTGATATCTAAATGTCTACGTAAAATTATCAATGATAAAGCAAAAGGCATTATTGTGGTACCAAGTTGGAAAACTCAACCTTGGTACACCATATATAAAAGATTATTGATAACGAAACCTTTGTTTTTCAAACCAAGTAAAGATTTATTACTTTCGCCTTTCAGAGAGCCACACCCCCTATGGAAAAGTCTTATCCTGGAGGCAGGAATTTTGTCCGGAACTCTTTCCTCCATAGAGGCTTTCCAGCAGTAGGTCTGGATACAGTTATGGAATCTTTAGCTCCAAGCACTCTTCACCAATATAATTCTTATTATCAAAAATGGTGGTCTTTCTGTATTAAGTCAGAAAAAAACCCTTATTCGTATTCCTTGAACTTATTAATCTCATTTTTAACTGAAGAATATAAAAAAGGTGCCTCATATGCTACACTAAACTCACAATATGCGTCCCTCTTATTATTATTTAATATAGATGCCATAGATAAAGCTCATTTAAAGAGATTTCTCAAAGGTGTTTCCAAGAAAAATCCGCCAAAACCCAAATATCAAACCACATGGGATCCTACCTGTGTTTTAGGTTTTTTATCATCTTGGTACCCATTAGAGGAATTACCAACTTCTCAATTAACGCAAAAAATGGTTACTTTACTAGCATTAGTTACAGGCCACAGGATACAAACTTTGTCAAAAATTAAAATTTCGAATATAATATATTTTGAAGATAAATTAGAAATAAGGATACCAGATTCTATAAAGACCTCATCGTGTAAAAATTTCCAACCTGCTTTGGTTATACCATATTTTAGAGAGGAACCAAAGTTGTGTTTAGCTTCTGTTATTGATGTTTATATTAAAAAGACTAAAGATACCAGACCTAACGATACAGATTACTTAGTTTTAACTTATAAAAAGCCAATACATCCGGCGAGTTCACAGCGTTTCAGTAACTGGATAAAGCTTACTTTGAAAAGCAGTGGGATTGATATGTCTCAATTCTCCGCTTATAGCACGCGTCATGCGGCTACTTCGGCAGCATATCGAGCTGGCGTGTCAATTGAACAAATCAGAAAGACAGTTGGCTGGACAAAAAATAGTTCCATGTTCAATAGGTTCTATAATCGCCCGTTAGGTCTGGACTCTACAGAATTTGCAAAAGCAATCTTGACTTTAAAATAGGTACAGATTTGCCTTGTGTTTTGTTCCTATAGATTTAGATTGGTTTGGTGTTTTGTTCCTATGGTTGCTTAGCAATAAAAGATTTTTGCAGATCTAGATCGTTTAACTTTAAACATCTACGAGTGTATTATTGTAATTCGAGAACGGCAATATGAAATATAATTACTAGATCAATTGACTTACCTTAAGGAAAATTGATCGATATTATATGAATATTGCCGTTCGAAGAATTACAATCCCTCCCATATCCCTACCCCCTTCACGATCTAGATCTTCCTGGGACTTCACCAAAATTGCAATGAGCTAGTAGCGCCGGCGGATGGATGGACTGGAGCGAAGTCGGGGCGGGACAGGTCCGGATTTACTTTAAAATCGTGCATGCTGGGCGCAGAAAAAAGTGCTACTACGAGTGTATTATTGTAATTCTTCGAACGGCAATATTCATATAATATCGATCAATTTTCCTTAAGGTAAGTCAATTGATCTAGTAATTATCTGCATTTAACATTACGCTGTAATCACATTTTTAAAATCTGTAAAATGTTCAAAATGTTCGAGTTACGTAAGAGTTTCGTCATTTTCAAAATAAAACTACAAAAATTTTAAAAGCTTGAATTTTAAATTTTTAAAAATTTTTGGTATTTTCATATTTTCAAAACCAAAGTCTCGAGAGTTTTGAAACTTTCGAACAGAAAAATTTGAAGAATTTGAAAATTAACAAAATTCTAAAAAATTTTAAAAATTATTCTTGAAAATATTAGTGATTTTAAAAAAGCCGAAAATCGTGCAAATATATTTTTAAAACCTGTCAATCTACTGCGAAATGTAAATTTTAAATCCTCCCGCAAACGAGGAACCGTTGTTTGTTTAAAATCCAAGAAGAAATCATTCCTCTAACGGAACTCAATCGTCAAATAACGTGTATAAATGTAATCCTAAAAATGTTCTGAGCCATCAAAATACTCGCTTCCATTGTTTCATTACTGGAGGCATGGTTTATATAAAATCAAGGAGAAATCTACACAGATATTTTTGTGTCTGACGTACCATTTATTAATTTAGATTTTCACAATTTCGTACTGCCTTGGTGTTTCAGTCGGTTTCGGTTAGGAGTGGAAGGGCTAGAGCTGAAAATAAATTATTTAGACATTCACACTCATTATTTTTAGCGAATGAAAGTTCCATATATTTTCTGTCTATACGTTATTTTCTCGTTTTGTATATATTTTTTTACAGTTTTGATATAAAACTATTTTGCGCCACTGTCCAATTTTTAGGGCCGATGCAAGGTTGTTTGCTGCTTGGTACAAACTTTTGCTGTGCTCTGTATATGTTCATCTAACATATTCTTGGGAAAGCAAAAAATGCCCAGCTTTCATTTTCTTCTATATTTTGCCACTATTTAACTCATTTTGCGGCACAGTTCGCGCCTACCTCACGCCGACCCTGCTTACCTTTTTACCTACCAACAAACTGTTCACCAACCGCTCTGCTCCAAGCACCCTGATGGTCTAGGAAGATCTATAACAAAAGAGAAATTATTTATACACAAAACAGTGGCAACATTTCTGGGACTTAAGATGAATCAAGAAATAATATGAAATAATTTGATAAACATGGGGCCGAAATTTATTTTCGAGAAGAGGAGAATACAAGGAGTTGAAATTATAATTTTAAAATTGAAAAAATATACGACCCCTGTCTCAGTGAAGTTGGCCAAACGCCCCAAAACATGATATTAGTGAATTTATTTGAGGACGGATTAAATTTTTATTTCAAATATATTTCTGGTTTGTGGAAAGGTAACAAAACCGACGCAGCTATTATTAAAGCGTTTTTATTTCGAAATTGTGTTCTTTGCAAAATGATGTGTGTATAGCAAAATACATGATGGACACAAATTAAATTGAACGGTCTGTTTATTCGCTTCGATAAAATAAAGGTAGGCTTTATGAAACAAATAATAACATTTTACGTTGCTAAGAAGCTGATTTTTGACGTTTAAATCAACTTTCAACGCATTGGTGTTGTTGGCCATTAAAAATGGCTGGTGGCAAAGCTGTTTGTGACCAAATAAGAAAAGTGATCATTCACTTCCATTCAAAAGGCCAAAGTGCTTCCCAAATCGCTGACAGTGTTAACAAAAAGAGGAGTGTAGTTCGAAATATTAAATTGTACTAAACAACTGGATCTGTGGCGCAAAAACCCAGAACTGGAAGTAACACGCGTTATTCCAATACCAACATAAGAGTCTTAAAACGGATGATCAAGGAAAATCGGCGTGCTAATTATAACGAATTGAAAACATAGCGGAATCGAGCAACCAAAAAAAACTTTTCAAAAACAACTTTTCACACAGCTGCCCAAATAAAAAATTTTTTTCACTTGTTATTTACAGTAAGATAAATACATTCACCAATTTTTATTAAAATAAAACAATTTAAACTGGGTGTTCGGATTTATATGCCACTTAGTATATTATGCTACTGTTATGATTTGGGGATCCATGTCAGCAAGTAGAGTGGGAAACTTACACTTTGTGGAAAGTATTATAAATGTTGATAAGTACATTAATGTGCTTCAAAATAACTTAATACCCCAAATTGAACAAATGCGTTTAAGCAACATTGAAGGTATTTTCCAACAAGATGGTGCCGAATGCCTTACGGCTAAAAAAGTAAAAGATTGGATTTTAGAAAACAACATTTCAGTTTTAAAATGGACGTCGAGTAGTCCAGATCTATCGCCGATTAAAGCCAGCAAGAACCGTTCCAGAATTGCGAACCCGTCTCCAAAAAACTTGAAACAGTTTTACACCACATGACTGCCAAACATTAGTTGACACTATGTCAAGTCATGTCGAAGCAGTAATGAGTCAAAAAGGCGATGTAACAGTGGTGATTTGCTGCTATTTGATTTCGTAGATGTTTATTAATCGGCAGTTTTTTGAATATGTATGATATTTTTTTCTTTGTTACAAAAAATGTCGAATTTTAGGCTAATATTAAATAAAAATATCGTATGTTATCACAAACAAATTTTAGTTTTTAATACGTTTCCGCTAATATGACAAATTTCGTTAAAAAAATGTAGTTTTGATAGTAGGGCCAACTTCACTCCGTCAGGGCTCCTATATTCGCATCCGAGTAGAATATTAACTGAGATGAAGGGAAGCATCAATTTGTATAGAAATAAATGGCGTGAAGTAGATTGACTCTATAGTTCCTACGCCTTCGTTGGGGTTACAAATGAAAAAGAATTAGTCATAGTCAAGTCGTTTCAAAATGCGAAATTTAACCGTGACTAGGTTCCAAATCAAACTATGCAAATATATTTCTGTTTCCATGGCACATGTAGGGAAAACGTGTGTGACTCATTATTTCTAACAAGTGCATAATATTACTGGAATCGGCAGCTCCTTAATAATAAATCTTTCACTGACACCAAATATCATACAACTTGTAACCATTTACCGCATACAGCTTACAACTTACAATATTAAACCCATCCAAACAATGTCTAAAAATGAGCAGTAATCTCTGAAACCTTGTATTGTAACACTGTGGTCGAGCGATTTTTATTTATTTTTTGTCTAACTTGAATCATGCAAGTTCCGTGTTTCCCATTTATGTGGGTTTGTCAAGCCGTGTCTGTTGTATATCGATGCGTAATAAGTACTGGGCTAATCTACGTGATAAAATAATCAGAGAACCTTCATATGCTGAGTAACACAAATTAAAAGTTAGGAGAGACTAACAAGTTACATACTTTTCCCGTTGTTACCAAGACCAGAAGCTTCATGACGATAGAACGTCTTTGACTGATACTACAGACGTAACATTTTCAACCTCCTGCCCCCTACAAACGCCATTCCACAATTTTTAACCCTTACGTTTTTTGCAAAATCGAAGTTTGAGCGACTTTTATTCTATTTCCTTTCTGGCCTTTTCCTCCACCCCCACCGGACCGATTTTCAAAACCTATAAAGCTTTTGCGTTCCTTCATCGAAATCCGAGCGGTACTTCTCAAGTTACAGGCGGTTGTAAGATTAGCGGGCAGACCGACAGACAGACCGAAGGAAATGAGAGACATAGTTTTTCGTGATTCTACCTCATATAACATCCAAAAAACAATATCTCGTTTTCGAAATTTTTCGCGATTACAGTAAGCGTGGGACGTAAAAAGGCATTCATTATATTTTATCTAATTCGCCTCAATAGAACCCATAATAAAAAAAATCATAAACAGCGTGTTTCAAATTCGACCCTCACCATTGGGATCTCAGAAACTGCACATGGCCAAAGTTGACCAAATGGTGCTACACGACCGTCGAATTAAAGTGAGAGATATAGCAGAGATTATGAACATGTCAAAGGTCGTGTTTGTCACATATTAAATCAAAATTTAGGTATGAGTCAGCTGTCCGCCCGTTTTGTGCCGCGTTTGATCACGCTAGACCAAAAACGTGTTCGAATGAACATTTCCAACGCTCTGTTGGCGCAGTTTAGGAGCAATAAATCCGAGTTTTGGCACCGATTAATGTAGATGAAACTTGGCTACACCATTATGCGCCGGGAACAAAAATACAGTCCAAACAGTGGACTGCAAAAACTATTTTCTCTGCTGGAAAAGTAATGGCAACTGTTTTTTGGGATAGTCACGGAGTTATTTTAATCGATTATCTTTAAAAGAGAAAAACCATTACAGGAGGAGCGTACTACGCATCATTACTTGACAGGCTGAAGGAAGAGCTTGCGGAAAAACCGCCACATTTTCACCAAGACAATGCACCGTCTCACACCTCAGCGGTTGTCATGGCGAAAATCCACGAATTACCGTTTGAACTGCTTGACCATCCGCCTTACTCGCCAGATCTAGCCCCAAGCGATTTCTTTTTGTTTGCAGAGAAAAACACCGAGAACTAATTGGACGGGTTACAGAGATGGGAGCATCGCTGGGAAAAGTGTGTAGGTTTACAAGAGACTCGGTAGAAAAATAAAAAAAAAACAGAAAAAATGCCTTGTATCTTTGTTAGGTCGGAAACTATTCAGTCCACCCTCGTAAAAGATACAAGATCGCTTAAATAGGGGCAAAGATACGTACAGTGCAACCCGCTTATAATGGACTCGGCGGAACTGTGACAAATAGTCTATTATAGGCGGATAACCATCTTAAAAGAAAGACTTTTTTAATGAAAAAAACAGCAGAAATAACATGTTAAAAGCTTAAAATGTGTTTGTTTAACATGTATAAAATAAATATGCATTTTTTCAGAATCTGATACACCTATTACAGGTATACGTGTAGGTATGTATAAAAACCGTAAATTTTTGGTAAAGAATGTAGTATTTTTCATTTGAACAGATTGTTTTTTTGTATAATTATTTAGAAGAGCAAGTCGAATTTTATTTAATTTGGTAAGTGTGGCTGTACTGTCTTCCTCTTGCTGAAAATAACGTTGCAACTTTTTCACGCAGTCTAATGCCTCCTTAGTTGTCACTGGAAGCTTTTCTTCATCGTTGTTTTCTAGTTCGTCTCCCTGTTCGTTATCAACGGATCCTTCATTAACCAAATTGGAGTCTGACAATTCCTGTGTTGCTATTAAATTATTTTCAACATTTACATACTCATTAAATTTATCTATATTCAGTAAACTATTAATTTTCAGTAAATCACTTGATGGAATTTCATCTTCTTTTTCACTAAACAAAACAATTACGAATCGTTTCTGGAGTAACCAATTCCAAAGCACTAGTAAGCAAATTTATAGCATCTAAAATGGTGTCAGCTTTGGTAATGTTGAGATCTTCTTGAAGCTCCATAATTTTCATCAATTTATGTTTCCGATACATTTGTTTAAGACTCCAAATGACACCATGGTCCATTAGTTGCAGAACTGATGTCACATTTTTTAAATACTCTTCAAAAATTGATGAAGTCATCCAACCTTTATTATTTCCAAGATAATCGACGAGAATTGCTTTAACAATTTTTGAAACACTTGGGATTCTTAAATTTCCCTGAAATTAAAAAAAGGTCATAAATTCTTTGCAGCACTGCCATTGAATATCAAAAAAATTAGAACATGAATTTCTATTCATTCCCTTACCTATTATCAATTGTTTCCGTTTTTAAGTACCAGAAGCATTAGCACAAATCATAACAGTTATTTGCTCTTTTGATAGTTTCCCTCCATTGCAAGTTTCACTTTTTAATTTATGAGTTTTATCTGGTAGCATTCTATAAAATATCCCGGTTTCATCTGCATTGAATATGTTATCATCTGAATAATCACTGAATATTACGGGCCAAACTTGAAAAATGCAGTCATTGGTAACGTTCTTGTTAACTGAAGCTGACACACCACACATTTTTCCTAAAACAATGTCTTTTCTTAAACCTATCTAGCCAACCGGAAGTACATTTGAAGTAATCTCCAATCAATTACCCAAATTCTTCAGCCTTTATTTGTAGCATAGGTCCACTTATTGGAAAATTATTAGCACACTTTTGTTGAAACCATTTAAACAGCATATCATCGACTTGGGGATGCAGCGAAAGCCGCATTTTTTTCTTTTGACTATTTGATTTCGTCATTTTGGACACAGTGGATTTTTTATAGCCATACGAGCACATATATTTGCTTGAGATCAACCCTGCTCAAGCTCACTAATTATTGTGAACTTTTCGTGTAAAGTGAATGCACGTTTCGCACTTTTCGATATGTTTATAACTCTAATATCTTCACTGGTGGTCAAGTTCGAATGCAAACTGCGAAGCCAAACCGCCGTAAACGATTGCATCAC